CGGCCATTGGCGCTCTGGCGGACGAACTTATAACTAACTGGGGTCTTGCAACGCAAACGCTTAACTCGGTGTTTTCACATTTGCTGTATATTTTATTCAAATATTGCGTGTTTTAAAAACATTTTCTTGTAAAAAAAAATTATTGTTTAATTTGAAAATTTTTGTTTATTTATTTATATTTATCAAAGAAGACAGTGAGATATTTCATAAATAAATTGAATAGTTAATATCAAAAGAAATTCAATAATTTAATTTGCTATGAAATTGTAAATATTAACACATAATTGGCGTAAATAATTTCCCAGTTACATATAAATTGTATACAGTTAATTCTAATATGTGAACAAGTTTCGTAAAACGCAAAACTTTACTTAAGCACTTTTGTTATTAAGTTACAAAAGGAATAGCGTCATGGCGGCGCGACGAATGCCGGGGTGGGAGGATATTGACTTGCGCCGCCGTCACTGCGCATGTTCTGAATCATGTGTTTCTGTTTTTATGCTGTACTGATACGAGAGAAAATATCACTAAAAATTCACTTTAATATAAAGCCTACGTGAGCGTCACAACGCCGCTGCTCATACAGAGCACGTCACAATTTGCCCTTCACCTTAAACGGCAGATTTGACTGTCTAGTAAATTTATTATGAGATTTTGCTTTAGTATTGTTCACGCAAACAAAAGCGTATTTTGACATGACAAATTATTAAATCTGGAGATGCCGTGCGAAAGTGCAGACAAGCTTTAAGATGCAGACGCCAAATGTTGGCTGCGTGCCAGATTTGGCGAGATTTCATGAGAAAGTCACTTTTTTTTCTAAATATTTCACCATCGAGAGAGTAGGAAGAAAGGAAGTCATTACTTAGATTTATGGAATCACGGACAAAAATTTTCTTATTCGCGATGTTTCAAATGAGATTATTTTGAAATCTGATTTGATTATGTTTGCTTTTCGTTTCAATTTGTCCGAGTGAGTACTGTTTTCATAGAATAATTTTCGTTAAATACTTACCCATAATATAATAATAAAAATAAACTACCTATAAGAAAACTATTACTTCACCAAAGTAATTCAATAAACATTATTTTATTAATAATAACGGATTCATATTAGGCACTTTTAGAATTATAGAGCAGTTACAATCAGTTGCACAAACGTCCATTTAATTTTATAAATTTGACATTCATTTTAAAATTAATGGACGTTTGTCAAACTGACCGTTAGAGTTATTATTTTTTACTTTTTACGTTTAGTTATGTTGTGTGATTTTATTTTCGAATAGGTTTTTTCCTAGAGGTAATGAAAAATAATTCATTAACTTCATGAATAATTTTAATAGAATGCAAGTTTAGCAGTTTCAATATGTAATGACGAGCAAACTTGCGTCTGAGTTAGTTCATAATACCCTTTATAACGACACAATTTCCTAACTTAATTTACCGTTGTACTTACTGAAGTGTTAATTATATACTGATATAAATTCTCACTTGCGTAAAGCTTCAAAACCTTCAAGCAATAAATTTCAAAAAGGTTGACGTTTCCAATTATAATGTTTCTTTTTATAATGTAAAATACCATCAGTCTAACACTATCTTTGATGCACAAAGTTATCTATGTGTTCTAGAAGAGTTAACGAAAGCGTCTATGTAAGCAATTATACACTGTAGTCTTTGTATGTAAGTAAATAAACATTTTTTTTAATATATTGAGTGTGAGACAAAACTGTTTTTTTTTTTAATATAGCACGAGCAATGATGATATTACCGTTAGACTTGATGCATAAATTTATTTTCACAGTTTATAAGGTTATTTGTCTAGTTGTTCGATGATAAACTGTCGTAAGTTTATATTAGGTGCATTCGTCGGCCAATATGTTCCGCATCCCCGGTGCTAGAGATTTCTGAATCATGTGTATTTCCCATAAAAAGTATATTTCTTACTAAGTAATAATGAGTATGAATAAGGCTGTAGGTTTCTCAAAGAGTCAAAGATTCTAACTAAGCTTATTTATACGGGTTTGTTTTTGAAAATACTGATACGATAATTAAAATTCTTTTACTTACGATAGTCGTTCTCTTTGCCTATGGAAAGCTACATCATAACTCATCATACGCGGGTAACATAGGCTATAATTTATGCGGTCGCGAAGTCGTGGAATCGCGGGAAAACAACTAGTAAAAATAACTATTTCTATAACAGAAATATTATACTCTAAAGTGCTTATTTTAACAAATTATCATATATTTTTACTATTTTGTAAATTACGTTGCTTTAATATTGGTATTTGATATACTGCTTTTGAAAAGCACACTCCTAAAATAAAGCATTTCATCAAAAAGATTTGTTATACGGGTACTGCGATAGAGGGCTTTCAGTGCTTCGAGCTTCACTTAGAAGTAACTTAATCGCTTATTGGTTCGCCTTGGAAAACATAGATGGCGGTGTTGTCATTATATGGTGACTTACATAAGGTAATTGTTTAAGAATAAATAACTCTGTTAATGGATGTCGTTACTTAAAATTTTAAAGTGCATCAAGTTGTAGCATATAAAGTATTACGATACGACTTGAAGTGGTTGAGCAGTGAAGCGTTGTAGGTGTCACGTTTTCAGTTTATTTTGACCATCACTAGATGGCAGTAGATTTGATTTTTAATATTAAATGAATATATTTCAAACAAACTTTTATTTAGACAAATATTGTAAACTAAAGACCACAAATAAGACCCTCTTTTCGCATTCCGATTAAGCTGAAATTTTGCATACGTATGTACATAACTTAGATGACTTCGGAATATAAGTATGGAATATAGACAATCTGATGAAGTATGAAGTAACTTTTCTTAGTTGAAAGAATACTTAACGAAATTTCAAGCATTTGCTATTGTAGGTATCTCTTGGAAAAGATAAACATAAATAAAACAATCTATTACAACCCAATATGGGGTATCTCGGAAAAATAGTAATTTCATTCATATTTTACATTTTGTCAAAGAAAATCCTGCGTCGTTTAAATATGTATACAGAATAACCGAGATTTATTGGTTCCCTTTTCCACCCATTGGCAACGTATCGAGGCGCGATTCACAAAATGTTGGCATACTATTTTGTTGCTTGTTATGATTTGTATACGTTACTGTAAAATCCGGAGTTCGGTAAATCTTAAGATTTTCCTGTAAAACCTAAAATAATGACTATAAAAAAATATTATCAAAAAATTAACACTACGTAACGATTTGAATAATAGGTAAGTTCAAGGTTATACTTATTGTATTATTTTCGATACTAACATTTACCAAGCGAAGACGAACTTAGCATGTATCAAACTCTAATGTTAAAAGCTCAAAATACATTTCCTTTTCTATAAAATTGCATTTACTTACATTTACCAAGTCATACTGGTAAAATCTTAAGATTAAAATATGCATTAAAGTTGCGGATTGCGGTCGCGCTTCGTAACAATTATATAGAAAATATACAAAGGTGGGATGTCGTACGACATTTCAAGTCAATGTATCGGCCGTAATGTATTGATTTAAGCTAAAAATCAAATAATATGTGTTTAATATTCTTCAATAATGGTCTCGACAGACAGACAAAAAAAAATTGGACATAATCTCTATTATTATTTTGATTAAACATTCATAACGGAAGATCTAGAAATTCAATCACTAAATGAGGGAAATAGCTAGTTTATTATATATTATAAGGTTCACTAAGAAATTATTTTGAGAATTATTATTTTAGTAAGATAAGGTAAGATATATATTTTAGTAAGAGGGTTAAATAGCCTTTGGAAATCATTCAACCTTTCCGATATATCCGCAGACGGAGATCTAGTTAATATCACGTGTGAAAACTTGTAAATGGGTAATAAGAATCTATGGTTACCGATATGAGATGTATGAGAGCTTAATTTTGCCGAATAAAACAAATAAATACGCAGCGTGTAGGCTTTATTTGTATATTCGCTGTATTTTATGTATTTATATCCACTGTATGTATGTCGTATATACGTATGTAATTATTAGTTTGGTATTATTGTTATTGAACTTTTAAATTAGTTACCTATTTTTATTGCTCTGTACGGCCATCGCTTTTATATTTTTTCTCCAAAGGTTGACTGGTAGAGAATGCTATTAGCATGAGTTTAATAAATAAATACAATACAGAGGTATAGTTTCTTACTTTGTTTATATTTTTGGCGAGGATTATCTTTGGAAAACTGATCCGATCTATAAATTTTTTTTCACCTTAGGGAAGCTGCATTATACGCGGGTGACATAGGCCAATTTACGCGGACAAACAGCCAGTATAAATATGTACATATTAGTATGCAATAGCTTTTAGTATGTTTACTTGTACTTGTGAGGTATAAATTGGTGAAATTGATATTAAATAGGAGCTCGATACGGTTTTTAATTTCGAACAAGGTTCATAATTAAAAATTTATAGCAACACCGTTCATCCTTCTGAAATTAAATATCTCCCTTGGAGTTATTGATGGGTTGTTTTAGAAATGGATACTAATTTGTACAAAAATGTATTTATTAAATAAAAAGATACCGGGACAGCGATACTTTTAAGGTTTAATTAGTATTAGCAATCACGATTCCTTAAAATGTTAACAGTTTTAAACCCTACTCTCATCGCTTTAAGGATCCACATTCGAGTTTAATATTTTATATAACCTTGTGTAAAATAATTATACTGAAAGTTAAAATCAAACATGAAATGAAAATACTGATGAGTTCCAAATTTTATCATAGATTAAATAAATACGCCGATTATAGGAATTAATAAAATATAAATCTATAAATGGTTTGTTTCTCGAGTTTTGTTGTTTCTAGTAGATTAATAAAATACATTTCTTATCCAGCTCTATAATGACTCTTATACGACTAAAAAGAGAAAAGGCCATTGTAACTTTTCCCCCAAACTGATCGACGCGATGACACCCGAAAAAATGAATAATAAATGTCAACAAATAATTGCCCTACTTAGGTCGAACGAGTAAAACGATACTTACCTAATTGAAATTTCTCGCCGAGGCTCCGTCTTTTCTCCCTAATCTTGTTCTTGAGTATCCTCCTCTTCAAACGACTGAGCACTACGTCAGCCTCATCTACACTTTCTGAGGACGAAGTATGGGCGGCCCTCACCATTCCACTCACCGAGTGCCTCCGATCTTCTGTAAATACGGTTCGATCCCTGTACCCCGGCTCGATTTCCGATAACCCACGTCTAAACATTTTCAAGCGTTTTTTCATTTCAAAGTCTGCGGCGTAGTCTGTTGGAATATTAATGAATTCATTGTCGGACGTGTTATCGTCCATTTTACAGGGGCATTGGATTTTTTCCAAAGAGATTTTAGGCAATTCGCACCTTCTCACTGGCACCCGTGAATTTTGTGGAGATTCAATTGTTCGCCGCCGCTGCAAAGTAAACCAATCCGGATAAGAGTTCATTCTGGCGGGCAAGCTTTTTAAGTAAGTGTTCAGGAAAGATATCTTATTGTGTGGCGGATTGTAAGCAGCTCCAGACTTGGAGCGCGATAATGTAACCCCTCCGGTTTCATTTGACGCATCTCTCAGCGCACTGTCATTGAATGATCGAGATTTATGTAAACCAATTTCGCATACGTCATTTTTTTTATCGTCGTTTGATGATGGATTTGCGTCGCTCAAGGAAGAGATCGAGGAATAGTTTGAGCCCTTATTTGCGATAGCATCATTTTCAATTGGACTCAAAGTTTTGTTTAGTTCATTTTGTTGGGTTACTTTTTCAAGATCACAAGTTTCATTGTCGGAACTTTTGTAACTGCTTATGTCACTAATACCCTCGGACTGAAACGGGCTGGTCTCTAGACTATTTGTATGTAAATTTGTTGAGTTGTTGTTTAATGTGAGTTTACTTGGAATGTTTACAACACTACTATCATCTCGTATGACGTAACTTTTATTACAGTTCTTGGCATTATCATCTGTTACTGGGGGTGTTTTGTATACACGTGTATATATCTTAAAACCTGTTATAGTGTTATTTTTTCTAATGCCATTTTTATTAATATAATGCCTAAAATCTTTCTCTTGTAACGAATGAGTGGTTTGTAAAGGATGCTCTTCAAAATCAGAACTTTTAATTGATATGTTTTCGTCATTTGTTTCGACTAGCAAATTTCCATCGCTATCGAAAAGTTGTATAATAGGAAATTTCACACTGGGGGAGTGGTTTCTCGTTCGTAGCTCCCATTTTCTTTGACCAGGTTTTCTTAACTGGATTCTTATGATGTTGTCGTCTATTAGAGGACCCTCACTATCGCTCATATCTTGTTTTCCCTCCATAATTCTTGTTTTAATGTCATCGCTTTCTCATATGCCGGTAAAACGAATATATGATACAATTATTGACATGCATTCTTATTGTCAACCCTTGCTAATTTGTTTGTTTACAGTCAGCTGTTTCTACAAAATTTGGCATCGTGCCAAACGAAACAACTCACCGGCATTCACACCGAAATAGCACCAATGTCAATTTTGTTTTTCACCAAAAATAACATAATTCGCATAACACTGAATTTCTGAGACACCCGATCACTTTTGCACACTGTAACACATTTACTGAACATTACTGCTAACGGACGATGTTGAAAACTAAGTCTTGCATAAGTTTGCGTGCGCTGATTGCTTGTACACTGTAATAAGTTTAGATCAATTCCCTCGTTCTTTTTTTTATTTTGATGTGTCAATTTTGAGTCATCTTGTTCGCGTCGAGGCTTATTTGCACGATTTGTTGCCTCCTGATTTTCCTTCCCTTGAGTTTCTGGACGCTCACGTCTCCGGACATATCTCTACTGAAAGCTAACAGCTGAATAGATGCGAGAAACTATAAATAGAGTACGAACGAGACTGCGATCATTCCGGATCCCCTTGAACCTAGTACGTTGTTTGTATCGCGTAATTTGTGACGTAAACGCAACAACTGTTCACACTGACACAGTTTTCTATATGACCATGCGGCACGACCATATGCATTTGCTAGTAAACGCAGCTGTCTAGTTATCCAACGCAACATTTTCATAATGTCTGCGGCTTCTTACGAAATATACGCGAATTACTCAAACTATGAATAAATATGATTATTTTCAATACATTTATATACTTCAAAAAATAAATTGTTTATTCAGGAGTCTGTGTGCGCTTAAACAATAAAATTCTTGATAACTTTCTTGCTCATTTTTATTATGGGCCAAGAGACGTCCTGAATGAGTAGCTATTACGATTTAATAAGTTTATTTAAAAAAAGATAATTTTGACTTTGACTTTCCATGTTCGTCTTAGTTTAAGGATAAATTTCAGTTGGAGTCCATACCTTAATTTTTATTTAAAATATGTAATCGATGTGTAGTATTGTCAAATAAGCACTATCTTTATATTGGACAACCTCAGAAGTTGGGGCGATGCGTTAATTTAAACCAATATTCATTAATAAACACTTTATTCCGCTGACTCGCCGTTCATTAGCGTTACATTGCTGCCATCTTACATTCTATTGCCAACAATCAAAAAACAATACTGCCATAGTTTTTCGCAAGATGTCGTTTTCGACACAATAGATGTACTAAGTTTTGAGTTTGTAAATGATTACATTAAGTTTGTTTAATCATAATTGCCTTTTAGTAAAACACAAACATATAATTCAACAACTTTAGAAACTACTTTTCATAATTAGTACTCTTTTGTATCATTAACTTAATCGTTAAAAAACGTCACTCTTTTCTTTGTAACAATGATATTAAAATACAACTAGTAATAACAATCTGTACTGTTTACGAATACGAATCCATGAATATGTGCGATGGATGGAAATTACGTGTTTTAAATAGTAACATTTCGTAGAATTACATTTTATAGTCAATACTACACTTATTAATTACAGTTATCATCGTTTTATAAGTATTTTTTTCTAAATCAAAGTATAATAATAGGCTTACATTTATAATAAAGAGTCTAAATATTACAAATAAAAATCAGTAGTAAATTTATTTACTTATTTTTCGTAACTAATAAACAAATTATTGGCCAGCTAATACACGTATCGCATCTAGAAGCCAACTCAATCAACTGATTTAATTAACTTAGGCGAGATACAAAATTTGTGGTGTGTGTTGTTACCAGCACCGTGATGTATAATTTGTGTCTGTGGTGTTGTTATTATATTACTACTAGTACAGTTTAGGAGCAGCTTACGGGCTTATTGGTAAGCGCACTCGGCAGTATTTTATCGTGGTGACCAATAATTTATCGTGTGAACTCGGAGGAGGTACAGAGGAAGGGACGTTAAGCTGGTCTCCAGTCCTTAAAAGTCACAGATCTGCATTGGATCCGATTGGTAGGAAAAATGTAGTTCTCCTTTTGCTTTTGATGTTGCGCTATTTTCAAAGTTGTATAATATACTGTTGGACAAAAAATTTGGTAATAACTCTATTTGAAAATCCATTATTTAATTTTTCATTAGTACACGACCAATAAAAAAAGGTATAAATGATTTTTTTTAAACACGGTGATAACACCCGGTTTTTTAGATGGTCAAACTTAATTGTCCATTAATATATTCTTAAAATTTTGCAATAATTACTTTTCTAATAACAAAAGTACAAAATAGCCTCTATCTATATAGCTTTAGTAGCTCGGGTAGTTCATATTATAGCCGGATTGTGAAAGACTGGATTGCAAAGTTTTTTTATCTGTCAAAGTTGTTTACAGTTTATTTTGTTACGTTTGTTCATCCAATGTAGTGAGTTTTTAATTTTAATAATTTAAATTCAATGTTTTAGCACATTCATTTTTAACTAAAACAATGAAAATGGTATTGAAACATTTAATCGTATCATAATCCAATCTATTCTTGAATATAAATTGTAGTATCTCGTATGTCTAAACTCAGTCTACCCCAAAGACAATCGAACGATTATAAGAAGTTTGTACCACAAAAAGAAAAACCCTTAGAGAAGATAAATGGCAGAATAACGTTAATAGAATAGTTACTCTCAATGTTCCTTACCATATTCCTCGACAGTCCTTAAAAATATGCTTTAGAATACCTTTTAGCAAAACAAATTTAGGAAAGTTCGCTCCACTTCACCGGTGTATGCAGGCTTACAACAGTGTTAATAATTCTAACATTGTTATCTTCGGTGACTCTGAAATTACTTTCAAAAATAAGTGTGTGGTAATACTTTCTTCTGTTTTTGATTAGTATCGCGTATTTTTAATAATATTTGATTATATATAATTTATAGCCACTTCTTAAATTTGATTTATTTTATAAATAGTTTGGAATAATTATATGCTCTTTCAGAATAATTTATATCGTATTGGTATGTTTTGATTTTATAATTATTTATTATTTTAGATTTGACCAATTTCTATTTCGGTTGTTAATCTGTTGTCTTTTTATTAATTATTTTGAAATGCTGTATACGCCTATAAAGGCGCTTCATTTAAACTAGTCCATTATCTTTATATGAATTGTGTAATGTTGTTGTGGCTGGTGTATCTTAATCAATAAATAAAAATAAATAGATTAATTTCAAACATAGTAACTCTTAAGTGGAGTTAATTAGGAAAAGTTTTGCTTATGTGTGTAATATATTAAATGAAAGGGCTTATTTGCGTTTGTTTGCATCTAAAAGGCGTCAAAACTTCTGGACCGATTTTGAAAATTTTACACTTACAAAAAGCTAAACGATGCACAGATAACAGGGGGCCAATTCTACTAAATAAATTTTGTTTAAATCGAATCGAAAACGGATCGAAACCGAACGAAACTACAGTTTTTAATGGTTTTCCTATTCTACAAAGTGACATACGATACAATTCCAGTTCTATTTTAGCTGGAATTGTATCGTATGTCTCTTAGTTATAATTAACGAGAAACGGAGTCGCCGAAAAATATCTAGTTTATTGAAATTTACAAGCAAATAGTTTTTAAATTAATTAAAAAATATCGGAGTACTACCCACTTCGATAGAATCTATATTTTCAATCGTTTTCCTTATAATACAAGTTTCTTTTCGTGTCCTAATCTATTGACTGGCGAACCGACACACAGTGGAAAATGGTAGAACAAGAGCATATCAAAAATACTTTTTACGAATATCATAATTTGTTTGATTTGGTGATTTTATTAGGATCTCAAATAATCGAATTATAATATTCATTAAGTTCTTTTATCGAAAATGCACGAAGTTACATTTTTTTCATAGGTAGAAGTACATAGAGGACGGGAGTGCCGAACTCGAGTCTACGCATATACATATTTCAAAACCATATTGTGCAAGATATATTGGGTACATATATGCAGTATTATACTTTGCTTCGTCTTCGAGATTAGAATACTTGTAGTAGCGCGTACCGTGTGGCCATTCATACACTATAGTTGAGAAACACATAAATAAAGGAAAAATGAAATACATTTTTTAATTTCTACTTTTCTATTGGCAACACTGGTCGTCGCCATTTGTCATTCGCGTTTCAGTGCCCGGCCGTTCGACACATCTCTGTGTGGTATATTAGGAAAATAAGATGCCTAAACGTAAAAATAAAAACAGTGACGATTATATTATGAGAAAAATAAGAAAGTTAGAAAAAAAAAGTGAGAAAACGCTCCCAAAAACGATTGATGAGTTCATCTCCAAATAGTTCCGATGCAGGATTGTCATTACAAGAAGGTATGTAGCAAATTATTTTTTCGTAATCTTCAGATATTCGATTTGTGTATTGAATAATCTAATCATAATTCAGGTTCAAATGTGTTGAGCACACTTCAAAGAGAGTGTAGCCTTCACGATAATATACATTGAGGGTAGTTTAATAAGACTATCGCCTTTGTATTCCTATATGAAATGTGTCGAGTTCATCTAATAAGGATGGCACCTTCACAAAAATGACTTAAATTCAGGTTAAGAATTATATAATTAATGGAACGAAATAAGTTATTTAAACTTTTTTCTTATCTCTTCTAGACAACCAACAAAAAGTCATTATGGAAGAAGCCACGACAGTAAGCGATGCTGTAGTGAATTTATCATCTCCAAGAGATATGCAAGATTCTATTTTACACTTAATAGAACCTGAAGCACAAATTATTGAATCAAATATTTCCGAAATACCTTCAATCTCAGTCGACCAAATCGAACCTGAAACTATGTTAGACGATAATATTCTCGAACTTTTGGGTGAAACCCCTTCAAAGAATAAAAAGTATAGTTTACCAATACAAAACGAACTCGCTGTTCGCTGGGAACATATTGCTACTGCAGGTCTACAAAAGGATGTCAAAA